ATTGTATTTAAGCTAAGATAGTTTAAAAACTAGATTTGTTTGTTTTCTTTTTAAAGTAAATTAGAAATAATAATATTACAGAAGTAATATTTGTGTTTTTTGAATATATTACTAGGGCTGCTATAGTTATCGTAGCTTGTATAACCTTGTGTAGCCTGTACTAATTCCTAAATTTAAATGTACTAAAAATTATTAAAACTGGGTTTTTTGGAAGAATTTTTGTCGTTTTGTGATTTTTAACTTGTTTAGAAAAGATCTGACAAGTGTGGAATTATAGTAGAAGGCTATTGGTCAATTAGAAAATTTTAATAGATACCAGAAAAGTGAAATTTCCAGGGCACCCCTGCAAATTTTCCCAAGATTGCCTTTAAAAAAACCTGCAATGACAGGTTTTAGGTTTTGCCTTTTTGTTAATAACTTGATGAGTTTTTGTCTATTTAGGATAAAATATATATCAAAATGTTTGTCTTGATGAGCTTAACAAAATACTAATAGTAAACAAAGTATATTTAATTAGTAAAACTTTGAGCAAATAGACAAAAACCAAAAAATTGGTTTTTGCAACTTTTCTCAATAGCTAAGTATTATTGAAGCTTTAAACATAGCTGCCCAGGAGCAGAAAAGTGTGCTAAACAATTTTACTTAAGGGTACAAGTAAGGTTAACTTAGTAAAATACTTGAGAATAATTAAATGTTTTTAGCAAAAATTTGGTATAAGTGATCTGCAGAAAGAGTTGCTGTTTTTTTTTTATATTAGTCTTATAAATAATTATTGCTATTTTGTTTAAAGTTAATAAACTCTTTTATAAACAAATATGAAAACTATATTGTATAAACTTTGCTAACTAGAAATAACAACAAAGTCTTAATCATCCTATATCAGACCTTTATTTCAATCAAACCAAAACAATAAAAAAACTGCTAACTGTAAAAGTTATACTTATTTTTGTCTATATAGGTTATCTAACATTGATTATATTATCTATAAAATTAAGATCTAAACTATTCTTTGAATCAAATATAATATTTTTTATAATTATATTCTAAACTTACAAATTTAGATAAGTTTTAATTATTTTAGTAGGTTTAAATCACAAATAAATATGTCTGAGTTTTTATTCTTAAATGTAGTTTTTCTTTTATTTATACTTAAAGCAATAGTTATATAGTTAGCAGTTTAATAACCTAGTCCTAATTGCAAATATTAGTTTTAGCCATAATTTTTATATAGAAAATTAATTTTTATATATAACAGTTCTATGTAGTGTTCCTAGGTTCAGTTTAGTTCAGTTTAGATTCATAAACCAAGTTCATTGAATCTGAACTGAACTTCAAATTTTGCAGATTATTAAACCTGAATCTGAACTGAACTTAAAATTTATGAACTTGAACTTAAAAATTGGTTCAGTTTAAATTTAGTTCAAAGTTCATGAATATGTTTAGGTTCAATATTATATATATATATATTTATATATAGAACAAAATTACTTAGAGTATAAAGATAGAATTAACTAATAAAATTTTAAGAATTATAATAATTTTTATTATTTTATTAATAAAATTATGAAAATTGCTATAAATATTGAAAGTTTACTAATTAATTCTATCTTTATTCTCTAAGTAACTTTGTTTTACATATAAAAATATATCATATTAATATATATTTACTTTATAGTTTTTAGTTTTAAAGAAAAGATACTTAATTTGAATTTTTTTATCAAAAATTTAAAATTAAGTATCTTTTCTTTAAAATTAAAAAATATAAAATAAATATATACTAATATGATGTATTTTTATATGTAGAATAAATTTACTTAAAGAATAAAGATAGAATTAATTAGTAAAATTTTGATATTTATAGCAATTTTCATAATTTTATTAATAAAATTATAAAAATTACTATAATTTTCAAAATTTTATTAGTTAATTCTATCTCTATACTCTAAGTAATTTTGTTTTATATATAAATATATATATATATAATATTGAACCTAAACATGTTTATGAACTTTGAACTAAACCTGAACTGAATCTGAACTGAATCTGAATTGAATCTGAACTGAATTTGAACTAAACTTTTTTTAAAAAAAAATTCAAGTTTAGTTTAGTATTGAACTGAATCTGAACCTAAACTTGACCAAAGTTCAGTTCAGTTCAGGTTTATAGGAACACTAGTTTTATGTAAATACTAACTTTTAAACTATCAATAAAGTATGAGCAAGGCCTCACTTTAATACTAAAAAAAAGAAATAAGATAATATAACAGTTTAATAAATAATATCTGTGATTATAAGTATTAATCCAACTATAATATATTACATAAAACTAAGTCAACTATGTGTAGAACACAAAAGATTCTAATATGTTTTCTGTCAAGAATAAAATAATATTAAAAATAATAATATAATTAAGTACTTTAAATGAAGATATTCTCATGATACAAGCTAAATTATATATACAAAAAATTCAAATAAGTAAGACCTATAGTTAACTTGCAAGTATAACATTTAATATAAAACTTATATAATAATATATAAATGGACTACTTAAATTCGATATCAAAAGTGCATATATAACTAGTTGTAACATTCTATATAAAGAAACTCCTGAAAACATCTGTGTTTTATAAAAACATTACTTCACAAAAGCAGAGATTTTAACTTAAAAAAAAAATTATTATAACCAGATATCAGTATATTCAGATGTCAATATAACTCAAATAACATATATCAAGTTATTATACCATATAATTACTGTATAATAACATTATATATATTTATATAGCAAATACATAATGATTTGTTACATAAGTATTTATTTTTATAAAAAATTTAATCTAGATTTCTATTGGCTAACTTGTTATATGTACAAAAATAATTATATCAATTATACGGTTATTATACCACTTTTATTATATGGTACACATCCCTGCTCAAGTTTAAAAAAAGAGACAACTGCTTGTTAATAACTATTTTTGTTTTTGTGCATTTTAAAATTTAGACGTAGGTGTCTAAGCCAACCCTCTTAAATTAAAGATTATTAGATTATTTTTAAAGTTGGCTTTCTAGCACCTCTTCGAAGCTAAAAACGATGTTAAGAATGGTTACTTGTGTAATGTTTCATTCTCAAAAAGTACTCTAAAACATAGAAATAAGTTACCCGGGCAATTGATTTGCAGAAGATGATTATATTCTTAATATTCAGACTTTTAGTTTTAAATCGGTGACAAAAACTGTTTAAAAACTTTTTTTTTTTATTCTTACCCTATTGAGTCACAATTTTCGAATTTGGAAAGCTTGTGCTACGAGAATTGTCCTTTTTGGTTGATCTACGATCATATTATCTACACGTGTCTGCCAGTTTTTTCACAATTATAAATAAATCAACCCAATTTTTTTTTGTTTAAAGTACGATGACATCTTTTCTATACGTTTTTTTAAAAATTTAATTTGAGTAGAGAGACACTAAACATTACAGAAACAAGCAGGTAGTTATATTTTTCAACATAGACCCTTAGATTATTTTTTGCGGGAGTTCTTTGCATTGGGTTTGTGCAAATTACGCACTTGGTCAACTTTTGCTAGCAGGTTGATTTTAACGGCAGCAGAAATAGTTTAAGGAGTTTCTTACTGATAAGGTCTACTAATTACTTCGGATAATTCAAATAAAGCTATGAGTATTAAACCGAACATTTTTGGAGGCCAACCTGTTTAAATTTTGGTCGAAATTAAAATTAAAATTTAATTTTGACCAGAATCTAGACGAGTTTGGCCCAACAATGTCCAGTTTAATACTCATAGCTTTATTTGAATTATCCGAAGTCCTGTCTACTGCTCTCAAGGATGAGTTGGTTATGTCTCCTGTTGCTGGATAAACCTTGTCTCTTAACTTTGTTAATTATTGACATTTAATAATAATATTCCGGAGTATTGTTATTAAAAGGGTTAATAAAATGGTTTATTATCAGCGAGTTAACTTACACAATTACAATATTTGAATTTTTTATTATATACTAGAACGCAACTAACAGTGAAACATCTAGACAACATACCTACACTTATATCGATAAATCAAAGTGGATCATATAATGAGTCCTTGAAGTTTACAATTTTTGTCTAATCGTTGGTTCGATTCAATAAACAAAACTACAACAATTTCACCATCCAAAAATATAGTTATCATTCGAAAATAAATTTCGGCGTACTAAAACATTTTCGGAATACTAAAATAATTTCGACAGATTAAATTATTTACGTTTTAGACAGTCAAAAATAATTTCGGTTGTCTAGAATTACTCCAAGAGCAAAATAATTTAGACACCCATGTATACACGCACTTCTGCATTCATTCGGACTTCCAACTTTTCAACTTCAGTACCTGGTCTTGGACGTGGAGGTTCTGGGCCAATTTCACTTGGTGGAAAAACTTTCACCTTTGGAGAAACGCTATGGCTTAAACAAGGTCGCGAGAGTCCACAAACAAATTCAAGTCCTCAGCCTGGTCAGTTTGATGACGCAGAAGAAGAACGCGAAGCATTAAAAACTTTGTCCGAAAAATTAATAGTTGGTGAGAAAGACTTATCAAACTATGGTGGTGAAAAGGAATTAAGACGAGAATCTAAATACCGACGTCCATCAGAATATGACGTAGAGGTGCAAAGACAGAAGTCAAGAAATCCTAGAGATACGCAACAGCGAGAGACGGGAACTATACGAGCTAGATCTAATTTGCGATCAACAGCTTTTAAAAAGAAACAACATAAACATATAGATAATTTGAAACAAATTCAAGCAAAAGAATTTATTGCGGAAGACATTAATTGGACAAATTTCGTTACTTCACAAATTACTTCTTTAGAGAGCAAAGAAGAAGAAGAAGCATTTAGATTAGAGCTGAAAGGTGGAGATTATGATCGGTATCTTTCTGTTCCTGCATCAATTCAGAATATAAGAGAGAATGATAACGTAACGAATCAATTCGAATCAATACGAATATTGATTGGACAAAACCCGTCTTATACTCTAAGTGACAAAAAGATTTTCTATGAAACGTTGGCACGAAGCTTGAAACCTTTGATTGAAAATAAAACAAATCCATAACCATTGTTTGTTATATAAGACGATTTAATAGATTATGCAACAAAGATAGTTTCCATCACACTTAATAAAAATATAGAGAACCCCCAATTTTTTATTTCGTTACTCATGAGCTATTTCTTTTCTCCATGACCATAAATCTTCCATGTATAAGGACTTTATCGACTCATTCGGTTCTATTCATTAGTCGGTTTTTATAATACTTTAAAAGTTAAAATATGTGGCTCAATGCGATTGTAGAAAAGTAGACAACTTGATAGTTCGAGATTAGGTGGAATCCCAAATAGCATTTATTAGGTTCAGCAAAACGTCTCTAATTTGTCGTAATGTCAAACAATTTTGACATTTATATTACGCCTAATAATCCAAAATTTACATGTAAAAGTCGTTCTCTTCTCATGTTAAACTGGCATTGATTCAATTTCATTTGTACATGTCAATAAATGCGCTCAATGTGATTAGCTAGTGATCGATGTGTTGCTCAAAGTATTACGATTAATTGAGTGGTTATTACGGTTAATAAAAGAACAAATTGTTAAAAATTCATTGTTCGAAAATGCGGATTTTAAATTTTAGCCAATCAGAGCAGCTCTGAAAAAAATTGCTAAATTGTCCCGGCAGATCCTCGATTTTGATTGGCTAACGGCCGTGGATCTGTAAAATTTGGCCCACATTACATAATTGTTTACTATTTTCTGGTCGGAATTAACTTTTTAACTTTTTCATTCCAAAAATATAAATTTTCAAAGAAATAGGCCCGCATGATGGTAAAATTGGCCCAAAACCAATTTTCATTTAATGGGTGGTTGTGATACAGGTTTTTTTATTTTTATTTTATTTTATTTTATTTTATTTTTAAATATTAACAGTAAAGCCATGCTTTTAATTTTATTAAAATTCAATTGAAGTTTTTATAAAGAAAAGCTTGTTTTTAAATTACATATGAAGAATAAAGACTTAGACATATAATTTGTGACCTAAACTTACAAGAGTAGTCAAGGTTTATTTAGATTTGAGTATTAGTAATAATATAAGAAAAATGAGTATAATATTTAATTCATTGAATAGTCCAAAGGTTAATTTTGATAATAATTTGTAATATTGAGATAGAGAATAAGGGTTTCTATTTGCTTTTTAAACAAAAAAGCAAGTAGAATTAATATAATATACTAAGATATTATGTTTAAATAGTATACATAATATGAATTACTATAGTTATTATTTTTTTACAAAAATCATATAATATTTTATAGTCAAAGTAAATTCCCAATTGTATTTTTGAAGAAATAATAATTTTTTTATTTTTTTTTGTTTTTATTAAGGTTATTTGTTATTATCTTTATTATGATTTTAATTATAATTATATAATTTGTACAAAGTAAGTATACAATTAGTCATATATACAGCTTTTGGCTATTTATTTAAATAGTTCATCTACAGGTTTTATACTAGTTATTATATCTGTAATCTGCTAGAAGATTACTTAATTAAACACTCTGATTCTTATATTATACCTAACAGATAGCATACAGTTTCTGTATATCTAAGTGTTATTTAATCTAATATTGATTTTTTTTGTCTATATATCTGTTAAGTTATATATATTTCAAAGTATATTATCTAACTATAGGACTTCAAAAGGCCTCTTTACTAACTAATTACTTATATTTAGTTCTTATTAACAAAGTTTACTTTTGCAAAATTTATTCAGATCTTAGTATCAACTTCACAGCATATTCTTAGTATTTATAGTATATTTTTACTTTTATCATTAAACTTTTAATTCAGATAGCTCAAAAGAATTGTAACCTGTCTTTGGTATATTAAGATTATGATATTTAATATTCTTTTTCTTTAATTTAAGACTTTCAGCAATCTGATTGGTGATACTTCTTATTTGAAATTTTTGTTTACACAATTTTTTACATTAATATTTATTTCTTAGATCTAGCCTTTATATTGATACTGTTAAGATCTATATTACCTTTCTGCTTAGATCTTTTTAAATAAGTTTTAGCTTTCTAATTTTACAAATTTACACAACTATAAGAACTTATCTTAAATTTGTATTGTCTATTTTCTGGTTTGCATTTCTTTGTGTAACTAGTTACATAGATGCTTTATAATTTACTAGTCATGCTAGTATAACTATAGTTACAGATATCTTATTTCAACTGATTAACAAAATATTATTACTGTAATATTGTCTATATATTGCATAGATGATTATTCAAATTTTTATTATCAGTAGATTTTAAACTTACAATTTGCTATTTAGAGATTAATAACTTATTTGCTTTACTAAGTTGCTACATCTTTATAAAAACAATACCTTTAAAAAAATTATTTAATTTTTTAAAACTTAATTATAAAGAGTAAAATTTAGATATTTTTATAATAAATAATACAGAAAAAAAATAAAATTATTAAAAAATATTTTTTGTATTATTGTGTTATTTTCATATACTAAGATCTTGACAAAAAAAATAAATTATTGCTTAGATACAATTGATAAAAATAAATAAGTAAAATAATATAGAAACACAAATAAAACCTTAAATAAATAAAAAAGTTTTAGCATTAAGACAGTAAACAACTTTGTTAATTACTTTGAATATTGATTAAAACTTAAATATAATAAATAGATAATTTGTTTAAGAAAAATTTTAAGAGATATAATTAATACAAATAATCTAATTAAAACATTTTATTGTAACTTTAAATATACTTATATAAAAGAAAAGCTAGTATAATAACTTAATAATAAAATATATTCTTTAATAGAAATTAACTTAAAAATTTTGAATTTTTGAATTTTTTTAAATAAATTAAAAGTTAGCAAAATAAATTTACAAAAGCATCATTTAAAAAATTATAAGAACTACAAAAAAAAATTAATTTAAATAATATATATTATTATAAAATAAAATTTTTCTTAATTTAGCTATAACAATAACATAGTATAGAGAATTTCTTACAGATATATGCAGTATCTAAGAAAAAAATATAGTTTTTGCTAAACATTATCAAAAACCTATATTCATCTTTGAGGCAATTTAATCATTATTATATAATAGTTTATAGTTAAAATTATTTATTAAAATAATAATAAGAAAGGTTATTTTTAAGCATCTTTTTAAAAGATTCAAGATATTATTTATAGAATTAAAAAAAAAAAATAGTTAATTCTTATTAACAGTTTATCAATTATTGTTTGTTTTAACTTAAAAAAATTTAAAAAATTTATATATTTGTAAGCTAAACAGCCAAGTAACTAAGTAACTAGATAACTAAGTAATTATGCAATTAGTTTTTTTAATTACTAAATAATTACTAAGAACTAAATAACTAAGTAATTACTAAATAACTAAACAAATAAATGATTACTAAGTGACTAAAAGATTATAGTAACTAAGTAATTAAATAATTACTAAGTAACTAATTACTAAGTAATTAACTAATTAAGTAATTACTAATAACAATATAATAATAAAAATAACTAATACTAAATAATAATAATACAGTTACAACTCTATAAATGTATGCCTCTTGGGATTGGCTTTAGTTGTGCATTTAGAGAGTGTATGCACTTATAGAAATTACAAATTTATATTACATAAATTTTAATTATTGATCAACCAATCAAATTATAATGTTAATAAAAAAAATCAAACATTACTACTTGTAATTAATAAAGCTTAGTGTGTTATTCATAGTAATCTTAACTAATAATTAAAATAATTATTTTTTTGTTTTTTTTTTAATATAATTAATCTGAAACATAAAAGTAAATTTGAAAAATAAATTTAATTGAAAGTATAAGCAGTTAAGTATTAAGAAAATTCAGAATTAATGATTTAACACCTGATTTCAGATAAAATATATAAAAACCTATTTTTTTAAAAAATATATATTTATTTATATAAATGCTTATTAGTAAATGTTTATCTAATTTTATCATCAGCTACCTCTATTTAATTTTCAAATTTAGAATTTTACAACTATTTTTATAATTCTTGAAATATCTAATAAAAATTGACAGAATAATTTTTTAGTTGATTCAGTTAAGTTATTATTTCAGCATATATAAATTCAATAAAATTACAAATTGTACATATGCATATATATACTGTACATAACTTTTACATTAACTAGTACATTATATTTTATATACTAGCTCTATGTATAGAAGTTTTGACCAATATTATTCATATAACAAAAATTACAAATCAAAAACTTATATATAAAACTTACACAAGTTACAGTATGTATATAAAAGACATGTTATATATTATATTTATTTATTAGATAATTTAGTATTATAAATGTTAACATGTTTAATTTCATCTAAATATTTGCCAAACATGTTTAGAACATGTTTAGTATATTTAGTTTTTTTTTTTTAAATATTAACAGTAAGGCTATGCTTTTAACTTTATTGAAATTCAATTGAAGTTTTTATAAAAAAAAGCTTGCTTTTAAATTACATATGAAAAATAAAGACTCAGATATATAATTTGCAACCTAAACCTACAAGAGTGGCCAAGACTCACCTAGATTTGGATGTTAATAATAATATATAAAAAAAGGATATGATATTTAATCTATTGAATAGTCCAAAGATCAATTTTAGTAATAATTTGTGATATTGAGATAGGAGGTAATGGTAAACTAGAAGAAGAATTATG